CTACCAGACATGAGAATTTATTACGAGGCAGCATGTTTGTGCTGGATAAAAGAATGGGCCAAATTGGAGAATAAGGAATTATTAGATCTTGAAGGTGTTAATAACAGATACGGGTGGCACGCTTACCTATGGAGTGATAAGAAGAAGGTACACAAAGGATTTACAAATCACATTTTCAGAGGTGCTCTAATAGAGGTTTGGGACAGGTACAAAAATATATTAGAGCCTAATATTCCACATTGGCTTTCCCCGCTAGAAATGAAATGTATTAAGACTATTAACATGAGGGGGAAGTGGGGAAACTATGGAGAAATGGTCTTTAAAGAAGGAGGGAAGTGGAAAATAAAACCTTATGAACAAATTAAGGCATTAACGTATGACTGGTTAAACTACTTCCAGATAAACGAAATGTTTAAAAAAGAGCTGAAGGAAAGGAGCTATGAAGATAAAGAATCAATTTTTCAAAAGGAGATAATAAATAATGAATATAAAAATTTATCAAAAATGTACAAAATACTGTTGGAGTGGCATATGAAAGACGTAGAGATGAAACCGGTGATGGAAAAATGGACTAAGGACTTAGGGTATAATATTAAAGTAGAAGAATGGGAAAGGTTGTGGAAAGAGAACATAAAATTTACGGCGTGCACGTTATTGAAGGAAAACATGATCAAAATGTTTTATAGATGGTACCTGTCTCCTAGTAAACTGGCAAAGATGTACAAGGTGGATAACAAATGCTGGAAATGCAAATCAAAGGAAGGGACTTTTTTCCACCAGTGGTGGGAATGTGGTAAGGTTAGAAGTTTTTGGGAGGAGGTATATAACGAGCTGAAAAAGATATTGAAGTATACCTTCGTGAAAAAACCGGAAGCATTCCTACTAGGTATTATAGGGAAGGATGTTAGGAGAAAAGATCAGAAACTCTTCCAATATGCGGTGACAGCTGCCAGAATCGTGTTAGCTCAGAAATGGAAGTTGGAGGAAATCCCGACGGTAGAGGAGTGGAGAACAAAATTGACAGAATACGCTGAGCTGGATAGACTAACAGGGAAAATTAGATACACTAAAGATCAAAAATTTATTAAAGACTGGGAGAAATTTGTATGTTATCTGGAAAGCAACTATGGGGTAAAAATAACGCTAGCGGGATTTAAAGAGGCTCTGTAATTAAATATTAAATATTGTCTAACAGAGATTGGGAGGTAGGGAAGAATAATCGGCAATATGTAAAAAAGAAAGGAGTGCGTATTTAAAGGACAGCAACGAATGATTGTCAATAACGCTGAAGGAAGTCTAAAAGGGATACGAGTGGTGATATAACGATGTGTCTTAGAAGTTTTGTTTTTGTCTGTATGTTGTACTCTGTATATTATTTTTCTTTTCTTTGTTTTTTCTTTTTTCTTTTTTCTGTTCTGTTATTAAAAACTTCAATAAAAATTTAAATAAAAATAAAAAAAGAAAACAGTCCCAATAAATTCTAGACGGACAGTTCAATCCTGAAAAAAAAATAAAAAATAAAAAATAAAAAAGAAGATATAGAAGCAGGATTAGTCGCACCAACAGGGTAAAAAACAGCTTCTATCCGTGGGCTATTAGGCTGCTGAATGAAAAGATAACAACAGGGCAACTGAATTTCGGGTTTGGTGGGTGTGCGTCAGTAAAGGAGGGGAATTAAGACTAAGAGAGCTGAGTGGGGGGTGCTTGTGTAATCTCACTGTATACAAGTTGTACAAGTGACAATAAAGTATTTCAATTTATAAAGACATTGGGCCCAGGATAGAACCCTATGACATCCCACTTGTCACTTCCCCCAGGATGACGAGGAACCATAAATGAATAGATTTTGGGCTCGGTCAGCCAACTGGCTACAAATCCACCTAACCTCATCATCCAGCCCACATTTTACTACCTTCCATGGGTGTAGCCGGGGGGGGGGCTAATATCCTGTCTTTGGGGTATTATTCTTACCCGCAATTTCCCAAGAAAAGCTCAACAACTTTGGCTGCCCCCCACCCTAACCAAAATCTTTCCGCAGGGCCTGCAAGACAGAGCTGTTCCACCAGGCCTTTGGTCAGGGCACAGTCTGACTCCCTCCTTTGGCAATCTTCACCGAACTCTAGCCCAATGGTTACCATCAATTTGATTTGAATTAATTTTATAATGAAATGATTTTAGAATGTTGTATTATTTTATTGTTGTTAGCCGCCCTGAGCCCAGCTTCGGCTGGGGAGGGCGGGATATAAATAAAAATTATTATTATTATTATTATTATTATGCTCATGCCGCCTTCGCTACAAGAATATCATGGGGGACTTTGTCAAAGGCCTTCCTAAAATCAAGATACACTAAACAGCGTCCCCCTGATCCACCAAGCTTGTAACTCCCTGAAAAAAGGGGGCGATGAGATTCATTTGGCATGACTTGTTGTCTGGGATTGCTCAGTCTGTAATAATAATAATAATAATAATAATAATAATAATAATAATAATAATAATAATAATTTATTATTTGTACCCCGCCCATCTGGCTGGGTTTTCCCAGCCACTCTGGGCAGCTTCCAACAAAGATTAAAAATACAGTGGTACCTCGGGTTAAGAACTTAATTTGTTCTGGAGGTCTGTTCTTAACCTAAAACTGTTCTTGACTTGAATCACCACTTTAGCTGCCGCCGCACAATTTCTGTTCTCATCCTGAAGCAAAGTTCTTAACCTGAAGCACTATTTCTGGGTTAGCGGAGTCTGTAACCTGAAGTGTATGTAACCTCAAGCATCTGTAACCTGAGGTACCACTGTGCATTAAAATGTCACACATTAAAAACTTCCCTGAACAGGGCTGCCTTCAGACGTCTTCTAAATGTCAGGTAGTTGTTTATTGTCCGGTAATAATAATAATAAATTTTATTTATACCCTGCCCTCCCCAGCCAGAGCCGGGCTCAGCATGGCTAACACCAGTAAAATTACAATAAAAACATAATGGGGGTGGGGGAACCAATTTAAAATGCAGGTTAAAATGCAATTTAAAATGCAGCCTCATTTTAAAAGTAGCCCATAGATCAAAACCATAAGGGGAGGGGAAAACATAAGGGTCAGACTGAGTCCAAACCAAAGGCCAGGCGGAACAGGCAGCCCTGTTTAGGGAAGCTTTTAATGTTTGATGCATTACTGTATTTTAATATTTTGTTGGAAGCCCCCCAGAGTGGCTGGGGAAGCCCAGCCAGATGGATGGGGTATAAATAATAAATTATTATTATTATTATTATTATTATTATTATTATTATTATTATTAGGTCTTGTAGTTGTTTTTCATGCTGTAGAGCATGAGACTCTTAATCTCAGGGTTATGGGTTGGTGCTGGGCAAAAGATTTCTGCATTTCAGGACTTGTGGTCTCTTCCCACTCTACAAATCTATGATTTCCAAGACACACAGACCCCCTGCTCTGCATTTGCAGAAAAGGAAACTTGAACCTAGCTTTTAAGGGGCCGCGTTAGCGCGCCAGGACTCTAGGGGGCGCTCGACGCTGCCCGAGGTAGTACCCTCCTGATTGTTCGTTGCCATTGCCGCTGGGAGGGGGCGTGTCTCTTCCTCCCCTTCTGGGATCTTCAGTCCTGCAGCGACACCTGCAGGCAGAACATGCTCACTACACCCTCAGGTTGCAAATGCTGGGCGGCGTTGCAGGCAACTGCGCTGCAGCATTGGCCAACCAGGCGCCCTCCAGATGCTTGCAGTGTGAAGTGCGTCCTGCACAAGGATGCGTGTCCATGCAGTGCAACACCCTGGTTGTTGTTGTTTTAAAAACAAGCAGGTCAATACTTTGCAGCTGGATTGGGGGGGGTAGATTTTGCAGCATTGCCGGAAGAAATATCAACAGCCTTAGATATGCAGATGACACAACCTTGATGGCAGAAAGTGAGGAGGAATTAAAGAACCTTTTATTGAGGGTGAAAGAGGAGATCGCAAAATATGGTCTGAAGCTCAACATCAAAAAAACGAAGATCATGGCCACTGGGCCCATCACCTCCTGGCAAAAAGAAGGGGAAGAAATGGAGGCAGTGAGAGATTTTACTTTCTTGGGCTCCATGATCACTGCAGATGGTGACAGCAGCCACGAAATTAAAAGACGCCTGCTTCTTGGGAGAAAAGCAATGACAAACCAGACAGCATCTTAAAAAGCAGAGACATCTCATTGCCAACAAAGGTCCGTACAGTGGTACCTTGGGTTACATACGCTTCAGGTTACATACGCTTCAGGTTACAGACTCCGCTAACCCAGAAATAGTGCTTCACGTTAAGAACTTTGCTTCAGGATGAGAACAGAAATCGTGCTCGGGCAGCGTGGCGGCAGCAGGAGGCCCCATTAGCTATAGTGGTGCTTCAGGTTAAGAACAGTTTCAGGTTAAGAATGGACCTCCGGAACGAATTAAGTACTTAACCCGAGGTACCACTGTATAGTGAAAGCTATGGTTTTCCCAGTAGTGATGTATGGAGGTGAGAGCTGGACCATAAAGAAGGCTGATCGCCGAAGAATGGATGCTTTTGAATTCTGGTGCTGGAGAAGACTCTTGAGAGTCCCATGGACTGCAAGAAGATCAAACCTATCCATTCTGAAGGAAATCAGCCCTGAGTGCACACTGGAAGGACAGATCCTGAAGCTGAGGCTCCAATACTTTGGCCACCTCATGAGAAGAGAAGACTCCCTGGAGAAGACCCTGATGTTGGGAAAGATGGAGGGCACAAGGAGAAGGGGATGACAGAGGACGAGATGGTTGGACAGTGTTCTGGAAGCTACCAGCATGAGTTTGACCAAACTGCGGGAGGCAGTGGAAGACAGGAGGGCCTGGCGTGCTCTGGTCCAGGGGGTCACAAAGAGTCGGACACGACTAAACAACAGATTTTGCAGCCAGCTTTTTAGGTCTCCGCGCCATGCGCACACAAAGGACCCGGCTTTTATTGATTTGCACGTGGGAAAGCAGCGCAGCCTCCTCCCTCGCTGCTCAGGCGACGCTCCATAGATGGAGCTGTCGCTTCTTCCGCTGCTTTCCCGCAGCCTCGCCTCTCTCTCTTTTATTTCCTCGCCTTCCTGCTTCCCAGCAAACCTCTCCAAGCTTCCCGGTTCCTTTGCATCCATCCATCAAATCCTGTGCACCGCTGCTCCTCTGCAAGGAGACGCGCACACCCCTCTCCCAGCCCAGCGCCCAGCAAAGGCTCAGCACCATGGCTGAATGGCCCCTTTCTGCCCAGGTGAGGCTGGTTCTGCAGGGATGGGACGGTGCGCTCTTGCTGGGGGTGGGCGATAGATGAGCTGCCCCTGGGAGGTTTTTTTTTGGGGGGGGGATGATTCAGAATATTGCACTACCGACGTGCATGGCGAGGGGGCTACAGAAAAAGGCAGCGACGTTTCAGGCGTCCCTGGCTAAGACTGCTCTGTTTGCAGACGCCTTTGCAAGCCTGAATGCTCCCCGGATATTTTGCATTGTTGTTACTAATTTTGCACATAGCTGAGAAAGCAATAAAACACAATATGGGGAGTAGCGACTCACATTTTGATGGGCAGTAGATAAAAAATAAGGGTGTGGGAGGCCCTGTGGTCTAAACCACTGAGCCTAGGGCTTGCAAATCAGAAGGTCGGCGGTTTGAATCCCCGCAATGACGGGGTGAGCTACTTGGACTTTGAGGTGCTTTCGAACTGCTAGGTTGGCAGGAGCAGGGACCGAGCAACGGGAGCTCAGCCCGTCGTGGGGATTCGAACCGCCAACCTTCTGATCGGCAAACCCTAGGCTCTGTGGTTGTACTGGACGGTTTTTTTATTTCCTTCCATCCTTGTTTTGGGAACAGTCTTCAAGGTGGAGTTCAGAAGTCCCGGCTGCTCCTGTCGTGGACGCCGCCTTCCCGAAAGAGCTGCAGACGGCCACGATTTCTCTGTGGACAGTGGTTGGCGCTGTCCAGGCAGTGGAGCGGACGGTGGAGGCTCAGGCCCTTCGGCTCCTCAGCCTGGAGCAGAGGTCCGAGATGGCCGAGAAGAGATTTGGGGACTGCGAGAAGGCCGTGGCTGAGCTGGGGACCCAGCTGGACAGCCGGTGGTCAGCGCTGGAGACTCTCCTGCAGGAGTACGGGCAGCTGCAGAAGAGGCTGGAGACCATGGAGGACCTCCTGAAGAACGGGAACTTCTGGTTTCTGAAGGTCCCTGTGAACGCGGCTGCAGCAGCTTCTAAGGTAAGCACAGACCTACAGAACTGGCGGGCGTCTACAGTAGTTCTGCCAAGGATCAGGCTGTGATTTTATTTATTGCATTCACACCTCAGCTTTCCTCTAAGGAGCTGGCGGCCCACAGAATCATAGGAAGGGACCCCGTGGATCATCTATTCCAACTCCCTGCAATGCAGGAATCTTTTGCCCAAAGCAGGACTCGAACCCATGGCCCCAAGACCGCTTATGTTTTCTGAACCATTCTTCTTGAAATTTGAAATATACTCGGAGCCGAGAGTGGATTTCATGCTCTTTATGCAGCTCATAGTGGTGAGGAGGAATGGAAGTTCCCCCAGAATGTCTGAATTATATACATTATGTACACAATGGGCCCCACGGGATTGGCTAATTCCGGGATTCTCCTGTAGGCCAATCAGGTTGCGGATTCACTTCCACCTGGAGCTGGATTGGGTGGCTCCTGTGGACTGATCAGACTGCTGCATTCTGGATCCTATTGTTCTAGGACCAATCAGACGGCTGCATTTTGGATCCTATTCAACTTAGTACATAACAGAATTATTCTTCAATTCTGATATCTAGCTATCTATATTGCGCTGTTTGTTGGGTTGCGCATTTGGTACTGGGCGGCTGTCTGGCAGAAGCGGCCCAGAGTGGCTGGGGAAACCCAGCCAGATGGGTGGGGTATAAATAAATTATTATTATTATTATTATTATTATTATTATTATTATTATTATTATTACTACTACTATTACCCTGCCCTTCTGACTGGGTTGCCGGTTGCCTGCTGAGTTTTTCCTGCACAAATATCCTTGACACTTTCTTAATACGGTCCAAGTCAGTGGCTCCAAACCTTTTTTGCCTCTCTTCACACGTAGGCTATTTAGCAAAGCACTTCAGGGCATAGACTATTAACAAAATGTCTGGGTCCCGAAACACCCCGATCAAATAAGTTTTCAGAATATGGGGGGTCCTTTCAACGTCGCATGACTTGAACTGGATGGTTTTCAATTCCTGCTTTTGTCGTTTTTTAAAAAAAGCACTTTGGGCTTCGAACTCTGGAAAGCTGTTTTGCAACTCGCTGACGGCTGTTTCTTGCTATCCCCCAGGTCTCAGCGGCTTCTGGCGATGGCTCGGCTCCCTTTTCCCGGGAGAAGTGGGAGAGGCTAGAAGATTGGCAGAGGGAGTTGTACAAAAACGTGGCCAAGGGGAACGGAGAGTCTCTGATCTCCCTCGGTAAGGAGCAGGGCCGGCTCTCCGTGGGATCCCTTTCGCGGTGGCAACAGTGTGGTGTAGTGGTTAGAGCATCGGACTAGACAATGGGAGTCCGGAGTTCGAATCTCCCTGCTTTGCCATGAGGCTCACTGGGTGACATTGGCCCAGCCGCTGTCTCTCAGCCCAACCTACCTCTCAGCCGATAATAATAATAATAATAATAATAATAATAATAATAATAATAATAATAATAATTTATACCCCGCCCATCTGGCTGAGTTTCCCCAGCCACTCTGAGCGGCTCCCAATCAAGTGTTAAAAACAGTACAGCGTTAAATATTAAAAACTTCCCTGAACAGGGCTGCCTTCAGATGTCTTTTAAAGATAGGATAGCTGCTTATTTCCTTCGGATCTGAAGGGAGGGTGTTCCACAGGGCGGGTGCCACTACCGAGAAGGCCCTCTGCCTGGTTCCCTGTAACCTTACTTCTTGCAATGAGGGAACCACCAGAAGGCCCTCGGCGCTGGATCTCAGTGTCCGGGCTGAACGATGGGGGTGGAGACGCTCCTTCAGGTATACAGGACCGAGGCCGTTTAGGGCTTTCAAGGTCAGCACCAACACTTTGAATTGTGCTCGGAAATGTACTGGGAGCCAATGCAGATCTCTCAGGACCGGTGTTATGGGGTCCCTGTGGCCGGTCCCAGTCACCACTCTAGCTGCCGCATTCTGGATTAGTTGTATTTTCCGGGTCACCTTCAAAGGTAGCCCCACGTAGAGTGCATTGCAGTAGTCCAAGCGGGAGATAACTAGAGCATGCACCACTCTGGCCAGACAGGTAGGGTCTCATCCTGCGTACCAGATGGAGCTAGTAAACAGCTGCCCTGGACACAGAATTAACCTGCACCTCTATGAACAGCTGTGTGTCCAGAATGACTCCCAGGCTGCGCACCTGGTCCTTCAGGGGCACAGTTGCCCCATTTTGAGGATAAGATGGGGAACGAGAGAAACCTTGAGGTCCTTGGAGGAAATAAATGAAATAAATCAATGGGCCAAAATACCTCTAAGCTACTCTGGCAGGTCATAGCTGGTTCTCTTGCCATGAATATGGGAGTTCTTATTATTATTAAAATTTGTATACTGCCTTTCATCCGACGATCCTAGGGAGATTCACCCTGGCTAGGACATCCTGAATGAACCAGGGACTTTACTCCATCTCCTTGCGTTCCTAAAGTTGTTTGAGTTCCCTTTGGAACTCCCTGCTGTTACGTATCAAACGGGCACTATCTCTCTTAACTTTTCGGTACCTGTTGGAATGCTCTCTTCCTTCAACAAGCCTCCTCAGCCGAGACTTCTATGCCAGCTAGTTTCGGAACTGGCATTTATTCCTTCCGCAGGGCCTGTAAGACAGAGCTATTCCGCCTGGCTTTCAATTTGAACTTAGCCTGATCTTTTATTCCCCTTCCTTTCCTCCCTCTCCCCTTTTATGAAGATCACCCGCTCTGAGACCCCACAGCTAATTCTCCCCTGATCTCCTCGCTGGCCCAAATACGACTAATTTAGCCAGCTAGCCCTGGTGATCATCTAATGTTTAGTGGATGGATTTCCCTCCTAAATTGATTTTTGAATTCTGAATTTATCGTTATTCACATTTTATACTGTATTTTATGCTGTTTTTTGTTGTATCAATTAAGTGTTTTAAATTTGTTGTTAGCCACCCTGAGCCCGGTTTTCTGAACCGGGAAGGGCGGGGTATAAAAAAATTAATATTTTTTATTATATATGTAATTGTTTCTAACTGCTTCAACTCTACGCCATGGTTGCATATATGCTTCATCATACCGTGAGATTGCTTTGAGAGGCATCGTAAATGGAATTGGTAATTATAATTTAGGACGGGCCTCTCTTAAAAATAAAACACTGCCCTTTAATGGGATCTTCGTAACGACAGTGTTCTCCCTTCCCCGTCTCCTTTGACCAGATCTTGCTGTTTCTAAACTGGAGAATTTCACCTGTGCTCCGCAAGAAGATGCCCCTCACATTCTGGGCCAGAAAAACTCAGAAGAATGTGCTCAGGAACCTCTGTCCGATTCCAAAACAGGTATCAAATTTTAAACTGAGAATTGCTTGCTGTGTATTGTGTGTGTGTGTGTGTGTGTGTGTGCGCGCGTGTGATTCTGTCCTTTCCAAAGCATCCCAGGGGAAATTTTGTTGTTGTTTAGCAAAGCAGGGCAAATCTTGTCTACCCCCTTGTTCACCCCAAGAACAGCCCTAAAAGGTAAAGGGACCCCTGACCATTAGGTCCAGTCGTGGCTGACTGTGGGGTTGCGGCGCTCATCTCGCTTTACTGGCCGAGGGAGCCAGCGTTCAGCTTCTGGGTCATGTGGCCAGCATGACTAAGCTGCTTCTGGCGAACCAGAGCTGTGCACGGAAACGCCGTTTACCTTCCCGCCGGTGCGGTACCTAGCGGTACCTAGGTTGGCAGGAGCAGGGACCGAGCAACGGGAGCTCACCCCGTCGCGGGGAATTCGAACCGCCGACCTTCTGATCAGCAAATGGTCAGGGGTCCCTTTACCTTTACGGCCTCCGTGGGGCATACCAGGAGAGGCGGTCCCGTAGGTACGAGGGTCCTAGGCCGTATAGGGCTTTAAAGGTTAAAACCAGCACCTTGAACCTGACCCTGTACTCCACCGGGAGCCAGTGCAGCTGGTAGAGCACTGGGTGAATGTGATCTCGCATCAAGGACCCCGTAAGGAGTTTCGCCACAGCATTCTGCACTCACTGGAGTTTCTGGGTCAGCTTCAAGGGCAGCCTCACGTAGAGTGAGTTACAGTAATCAAGTCTGGAGGTGACCGTCGCGTGGATCACAGTGGCTAGGTCGGGGCGAGAGAGGTAAGGAGCCAACTGCTTAGCTTGGCGGAGATGAAAAAATGCCGCCTTTGTTTTGCCCAGGAGCATTTTGAGATTTCAGATAAACCAGGAATACATAGGAAAGGTCAAACTTCTCTCTCTCTCTCTCTCTCATCTCCCGGAAACAGAATCTTCCATTTCCAGGACAGATATTATTTCGTGGATTAAGCAGGAGGAGGAATTGTGTACCAAGGGCAATGGCCAGGACGGAGTCCTCTCTCAAAGTACCTGCAACTGTGAGTATGTTGAAAGCACCACAACAGCTGTTCTCCCATGTCATCGCAAGAGGCTTGTTCCGTTTTTAGGTTATCCGTATCGAGGCTTCCTTTCCTGGCTGCTGCGTAGCTCTATCTCTCCACTTATATTTATCTTGTAGAATTGTAGCATTGGAAGGGACCCAACGGCCATCTAGACCAACCCCTTGCAATGCAGGAACTTGCAGCTTCGAACTTGCAACCGTGGCGTTGTCGGCACCATCCTCTAGTCAACTGAGGAAGGCGTCTTCACATTGCGTGTTAATGTGAAAATGTCTAGACCAAGTAAGGCTGAGATTCAGTACAGCCAAAGGGAAACTGACTCTATGGGACATGGAGTAAGGCATCCTATTTTTCCTCTAATACTACCACCCTGCCCAAAATGTCCACCTGAGAGAGACTACTACAGGGACCACACAATACTCTCTTTCTGCATCTGTAAGAACTCAGATCTTTTAGTGTGGCAGCACCTAATGATGATAATAATAATAATAATAATAATAATAATAATAATAATAATAATAATTTATTATTTATACCCTGCCCATCTGGCTGGGTTTCCCCAGCCACTCTGGGCGGCTTCCAACAAAGCACTAAAATACAATAACCTATTAAACATTAAAAGCTTCCCTAAACAGGGCTGCCTTCAGATGCCTTCTAAAAGTTTGGTAGTTAGTTTTCTCTTTGACATCTGGTGGGAGGGCCTTCCACAGGGCAGGCGCCACCACCGAGAAGGCCCTCTGCCTGGTTCCCTGTAACTTGGCTTCTCGCAGGGAGGGAACCGCCAGAAGGTCCTCGGTGCTGGACCTCAGTGTCTGGGCAGAATGATGGAGGTGAAGACGCTCCTTCAGGTCTACTGGACTGAGGCCGTTTAGGGCTTTCAAGGTCAGCACTTAGACTTTGGAACTCCCTGCCACTTGATCTCAGGCAGGCCCCACTGAGAAGGGACTCTGCTATGTTTATGTTCCATAGAGCAGCTCTTCAGCCAGGGCTTCCCAGATGTGTCCTTGGACTGCAACTCCCAGGATTCTCGCTAACTCGTTCATAAACTAATCTAGAGTTAGGGGTGAGCAGGGAGGTTTGCTCATGAGGCTAAATCGTCCAATGTCATTAAAGAGCTGAAGAAAGGACCTCTCTGAACTGAATGAATAGGCAGTAAAATAATAATAATCCCTGTGAAATTCCCTCCTTTCAGATGTCAAGGAGATAAAAGAATTACATAACTTTTAGAAGACATCTGGAGGCAGCCCTGTATCGGGAGGTTTTTAATGCTTGATGCTTTTTTATGTTTTTAGATAGGCTGTAAGCTGCCCAGAGTGGCTTGGGAAACACAGCCAGATGGGCGGGATAATAATAATAATAAATAATAATAATAATAATAATAATAATAATAATAATACTATTCAGTATTACAGGGTGGTTTGCAGTATAAAAATACAAAATGATTACAGTCGTACCTTGGAAGTCAAACAGAATCTGTTCCAGAAGTCCGTTTGATTCCCAAAACGTTTGAAAACCAAAGCGTGGCTTCCGATTGGCTGCAGGAAGCTCCTGCAGCCAATCGGAAGCCCCACCGGTTGTTCGGCTTCCAAAAATAGTTCGCAAACCGGAACACTCACTTATGGGTTTGCGACGTTCAGGAGCCAAAATGTTTGGGAAGTAAGCTGTTTGACTTCCAAGCTACGACTGTGCACAAAATACATAGTAAAACAAAAACCATCCAATAATAACCTCGCTTCCATGAACACATGAAAAAGGCCACGTTACTCAGAATTCTAAATTAATGCATTTATTTGGCAAAAATGATTAATTTCTCACATTCCACAGGGCAGGTGCCTTCTCGGTGGTGGCACCCGCCCTGTGGAACCCCCTCCCACCAGATGCCAAAGAGAAAAATAACTACCAAACTTTTAGAAGACATCTGAAGGCAGCCCTGTTTAGGGAAGCTTTTAATGTTTCATAGGTTATTGTATTTCAGTGTTTTGTTGGAAGCCGCCCAGAGTTAATTATAATTATTATTATTATTATACACTCATGGAGCCTCAACTGGCAGTGATGGACCAGGAATGAGACCTTGGGGTCGTAGCAGATGATTGGTGGCAATATTGCCGCCATATTTGGCAGCTGAAGAAAATCCCTTTGTGAAGGGATTGTGATTGAAACAAGCCAAATTTGCATTTTGTGTGCACGTTGAATTTTACTTCTGTTGGATCGCCTTCCTTCATTTCTTTCTGTATTCTTGTACGTTATTGTGCTGTGCATCCTTAAATATATTGAAAGCAATTGAAAACAAAGCAGTGATAGCACAAGAAGGATCTTAACTCTGCTGCTCGGCTCCCCAACAGATTATACGGTTTCTGGACTGGATACTTTACCGGGCGACGCAGAAGGAGCCAACCCCTGTGAGCCTCTGCAGGGGGGCAACTTGGAAGCAGAAATTCACAAGGGATCTACTTCAGACAACGCAGGTGAGCGATGAGGTTTCGGGGGGTGCACCCCAGATTCAAAGTAGCTCATGCAGCAGAACTGTAAGAGCAGGGGGGGCATTGGCGCTCAGCCCAGGGACCCAGCACCTCTGGCAAAGGCCTTCCACAATCCAGGAAGTTTCAAGCAATTCACTCAAAAAAAAACGTTTTGAGAATTACTAACCTGGGTGGGGCATTTCAGTCCCATTTCAAGGCTGAACCTTTGCAGCATTTTAATGTATATTGCGATGGCTCAAAGAAATCTTCCTGTTGCCTGAGGGCAACCTGTATATTTGCATTGTATGGTGCATAATTTAAACATCAGCTGTAAAAAAAAAAAGGAAGCAACATGGACGATTGGATTTCTTGGTTTGTGAAATAATTTCAAAGTGTTGGTGCTGACCTTGAAAGCCCTAAGCGGCCTCGGTCCAGTATACCTGAAGGAGCGTCTCCATCCCCATCGTCCAGCCCGGACACTGAGGTCCAGCTCCGAGGGCCTTCTGGCGGTTTCCTCCCTGCGAGAAGCGAGGTTACAGGGCCTTCTCAGTAGTGGCGCCCGCCCTGTGGAACGCCCTCCCATCACATGTCGAGGAGATAAACAACTACCTGACTTTTAGAAGACATCTGAAGGCAGCCCTGTTTAGGGAAGTTTTTAATGTTTGATGTCTTATCCTGTTTTTAATATTCTGTTGGGAGCCACCCAGAGTGGCTGGGGAATGATTATAGCAAAAAATTGGAAGGGAGAAGAAACTCCCTCAATAAGAGAATGGCAAATAAGATTTTGTGAATATATAGAATCAGCAAGAATTACAGCAGTGGTAAGAGGCCAGTCAGACCAAAAACTGATAGAGGAGTGGACTTGCTTGAAGGAATACATCAAAAAAACATTGTTCTGGTCAATATATCAATATGCAATGACACGAAACTTATAGAGTAAAAAATTAAGAAGAAATGGGTATGAGATGAGATACAGTGCTACCTCGCAAGACGAATGCCTCGCAAGACGGAAAACTCGCAAGACAAAAGGTTTTTTTGTTTTTTGAGCTGCTTCGCAAGACGATTTCCCCTATGGGCTTGCTTCGCAAGACGGAAACGTCTTGCAAGTTTGTTTCCTTTTTCTTAACACTGTTAATACAGTCGCGACTTGACTTCGAGGAGCAACTCATAGCACGCGGTGTGGTAGCCTTTTTTGAGGTTTTTGAAGACTTTGGTGATTTTCGAAGCTTTTCCAAAACTTTCCCGACACCGTGCTTCGCAAGCCGAAAAAAAATCGCAAGACGACAAAACTCGCGGAACGAATTAATTTCGTCTTGCGAGGCACCACTGTAGTCAAAAATAATATTGATAACACAGCGAAAAGAAGAAAAGAAACAAAGGAACTTATAAGTGGAGAGAAGTCAAATTTTATGTCTGTATCTTTAGTTTGTATGTTTGTTTTCTGTTTTTGTAATTAAGTTGAGAGGTGTATGTATCTACGTATAATAAGTTTGTTTAGTGTTCTGGTTTGTATTTGTAAGTATTTCATTTATCAATAAGCGTTAAAAAAATAAATAAACAACTTGGGAAATGACCAAATGTCCAGCTAAACCAGATGAGGAGAGCTGATGGGTCTCAAGCCGTCGGTGAGTTGGGGGCTTGGCCTGCATGCGAAGACGGGCTCCGGCGGGCGGAGTGGACGAGACCAAGGTTGGGTCCAGTGGTTAAGAAGGCAGTAATCTGGCAGCTAGGATGCGGGTGGAGCTGTGGGTAAAAGCCTCAGCGCCTAGGGCTTGCCGATCGAAAGCCGCGGCGGGGTGCGCTTCCGTCGTTCGGTCCCAGCGCCTGCCAACCTAGCAGTTCGAAAGCACCTCCGGGTGCAAGTAGATAAATAGGGAACGCTTACTAGCGGGAAGGTAAACGGTGTTCCGTGTGTTGCGCTGGCTCACCAGATGCAGCTTTGTCACGCTGGCCACGTGACCCGGAAGTGTCTGCGGACAGCGCTGGCCCCCGGCCTCTAGAGTGAGATGAGCACACAACCCTAGAGTCTGTCAAGACTGGCCCGTACGGGCAGGGGTACCTTTACCTTACCTTTTAATCTGGCAGCTCAATATGGAGGATGACATGAGTGGGTGTTTATTGATCTATTTGATCTGGGCGGAGCAACGGGGGAAGCTGGCTTTCAAAGCAACTTCAATCTCCCTTTCCCAAAGTGTTAAAATCGAGATGTGGAAAATACGGGAACAAGAAGGAGAGGCAGGACTGAGATTTGGAGATAGGCTTCAGAGGTCCAGACTATTGGAAGTCCCGAAAAATGAATCATTATAATTTGGATGATAATTTGGTCTTTTTTTTATTTTAATTGGATTATGATTGGATATGTTTAATTGGATGTTTTTTGTTGGGAAATTAATAAAAACGATTTTTAAAAATAAATAAATCTCCCTTTCCCCCTCCGTCTCGACAGGGTTACCGGCTTCCAGGTCGGATGAAGTTCCGTGGGTCAAACAGGAGGAGACTCCAGCAGGGAGGGATGGAGGAAACGGTCTTCAAAGCACTTGTAATGGTGAGTAGGAGACTCAAGCAGGGGTAGGGCAGCAAGGCCAAATAGCTGCAAACCGCCAGCACGTTTGCAATGCTAAGCAGAGTCCGGCGTGGTTTCGAATCAGATGGGGGACCATCTGTTGAGATTCCTGTTGGACTAGATGACTCAGGGATCCCTTAAAAGGTAAAGGGACCCTGACCATTAGGTCCAGTTGTGACCGACTCTGGGGTTGCGGCGCTCATCTCGCTTTACTGGCCGAGGGAGCCGGCGTACAGCTTCTGGGTCATGTGGCCAGCATGACTAAGCCACTTCTGGCAAACCAGAGCAGCACACGGAAATGCTGTTTACTTTCCCGCCGGAGCGGTACCTATTTATCTACTTGCACTTTGACTTGCTTTCGGACTGCTAGGTGGGCAGGAGCAGGGACTGAGCAACGGGAGCTCACCCCATCGTGGGGATTCGAACCGCCAACCTTCTGATCGGCAAGCCCTAGGCTCTGTGGTTTAACCCACAGCACCACCCGCGTCCCACAAGGGATCCCTTATAATTCTGCAATTCCACTCATTGGGCAGTGGGGAAGCATCTGCCAGCATATGGGCCTAACGTGGTGCAGAGTGGTTAGGGGCCGGTGTGGTGTAGAGGTTAGTTGCACTGGCTCCTGGTGGAGTATCGGGTAAGGTTTAAGGTGCTGGTTTTGACCTTTAAAGCCCTTTGTGGCTTAGGGCCCTCGTATTTATGGGACTGCCTCTCCTGGTATGCCCCGCAGAGGACCTTAAGGTCTATGAATAACCATAGTTTAGAGGTCCCGGGCCCTAAGGAAGTCAGACTATCCTCCACCAGGGCCAGGGCCTTCTCAGTGGTGGCTCCGACCTGGTGGAATGCTCTGTCCCAGGAGACCAGGGCCCTGCAGGATTTAACTTCCTTCCACAGGGCCTGTAAGACAGCTATTCCACCTGGCCTTTAATTTGAATACAGCCTGATCTTTTATTTACCTTCTCTTCCCTCCCCCTCCTCTTTTATGAAGATTTCCCACTCTGAGACCCCACAGCTCATTCTCCCCTGGCCTCCTCACTGGCCCAAGTAGGACCAATTCAGCCAGCTAGCCCTGGGGATTATCTGTTTGATTTTTGAATTCTGCCCCCCCCATCACCCCCCGGCTGCTATCTAGCGCGCGGGAGGAAAGGGAAAGAGTTTCAATGTCAGTGTTTAATAATACGCTAAAAAACTTTCAATACAATGGTTACACCAAACCCTTTCCTCTCTCTTCCTTGCCACCCAGCTAACGCCACAGCCCAGCCGCACCCGGAGGAAGCGCAGAGCGAGGAAGACCCCGCCAACCCACCCCTCCTGCTCTTCCTCCCCGGGGGCTCGGTGGCGCCCATTTTGAACGGCACCATCGGCGAGAGCCGGCCCCTCCCCGGCCTCCGCGGCGCCCGCAACGGGAGGCACCCTGGCTCTCCCTCGGCCAGGGGCACGCCGGAAGCGGCGGTGGAGCGTCCGCACCGCTGCGCGGACTGCGGCAAGACCTTCAGCTTGTTGCTGAGCCTTCAGATGCACCAAATGAACCACCAGAAGCGGAAGCAGTACGAGTGCTCGTTCTGCGGGACGGCTTTCAGCTCCCCCTCGGAGCTGGTGCGGCACCGCATGATCCACACGGGCGAGAGGCCTTACCGGTGCTCGGTGTGCGGGAAGGGTTTCGTGCGCAAGCAGCACCTGGTGCCCCACCTGCGCCTGCACACGGGCGAGAGGCCTTACCACTGCGCCGAGTGCGGCAAGGACTTCATCTGCAAGCACCACCTGCAGGAGCACCAGCGCACCCACACTGGGGAGCGGCCCTACGCCTGCGCCCAGTGCGGGAAGAGGTTCCGGAGGAAAAAGTCGCTGAAGGACCACTGGAGGGTTCATAGCGCTGAGGAGCAGCAGCAGAAGGGACAGGCGGGCTCTGCCCGGGTGCCTGAGGGCACGGAGGGGGATGTCCGAGAGGAAAGTTAATGTGCTGGCTCAGGGGTAGCTCAGCGCACAAGGCGCACTGTTCAGCAGTGTATTTGTTTCTTTACAGCTCGGCAACGCCTTCCATCATTGCAGTTACAGGGGATGAAGGTCTCTGCCCTCTGCTTCCCCCTCCCCAAGTCTCCTGTTTTCCAAGCAGCCTACACTGGAGGGAAGGGGTGGGTGGGAATCTGTGCCCTTTGTTCTGCTACATACATAGCCGTCCATGTCCTTGGAGACAAAGGCAGGGAGCTTAGTACAGCAGGAATGGCAAGCTTCTGGGATGCTTTCGCCGCCTCCTCCTCTGCTTCATCACCTGAGTCTGAACTGCTTTCTCCACCTGGCTCATCTTGCTCACTAAAGCCTGTTGCTTCTTCTGCCTCCAACCATTCCTCCCCTCCTTCCCCCTCTTGCCAGTCCTGTGTCCCTCCACCACTCCCTGGGCTCTGACCCTTCCTCCTCTGAGGCTTCCCTAGGGGGTTCCCTGGCTGGTGCTGTAGTCCACTTCTTGTCATCCTGCCAATCCGACAAGACGGTTGGTTGGTTGGCTGGCTCCTTCTTCCCAAAGTCTCTTGGCCAAATGGCTTTGCAGCTTCCAAGCCCGAATGCAGATGTGCCTGCTAGCTCCATTCATTCCAGCCTTCTCCAGTGGTTCTGGACTACAACTACCATCAGCTGGAGGTGCTGATGGGAGTTGTAGCTCGAAACCACTGGAGGGCCCCAGAGTTGGGGAAGACCCTCTTACGCTGTTCGAGAGCCCCTCGGGTACCACAACCCACCCTTAAGAACATCTCCACCAAACCCTTGACCTCTGCTTGCCCTCCAGCAGTTCATTGCTTCCCTGCCTTGGCATGTAACCATTTTCTCTTTCAGTGTTGCCTCATGTCCGTCTGTCCAGTTCAGGTGCGCTGTCCTTTTCCGCACAACGGGTTTGCAATCCTCCCAGGATTTTCGCAGCAGCTTGTTTTTTTAAGATAATAAGTGTGGGGGGCAGGACCTGTTTGGTGCTCTGGTTTTTGTATACGGTTAAAGGCGCTCCCTAAATAATAAACCACCCCTGGCTGCAAGCGTGGAGTTTTCTCACTTGCTTGAAACAAGTTCTGTTTTCCGCTTGTCTTGCAGCTTAAATATGTTCAAAGACACTGGCATATGTGCTTCGACTTACTGAGTCTTGGTAAGACACAGACGAAGGTGGAGAATTTAGCAGAGAAAACAAGCACTCGGGGGTCAGGCAGTAAAGCTCTTAAACTTTTTATATTCTTTATGCGAAATACACTTAGCGTGTGCCTTTAAAACTGTTTGTATGGTGCCCTTAACCAACCCAAAGCTCAGTCTGGTGCTTATCACAGAAGGGGAGTTAGGCTCATCACACAAACACTATTTTTTCTGTCGTGGTGCCCTTAATGCAAGAATGCAGCTTGTATTCCCCTGCTCACATTTAATATGGATTTTCCTTTGTTGGACACGATCCAATTTGGGGAGGGGGGAGCAAACAAACCATTTGCAATATTGACCACCACATTTGGAAGGCTCACCCCTAGTTCAAGACGCTGTATTCCAGTCACCCCTTAACACACCCGGCTCCTAGAAAGCCGCTCCAAGTATCCACTGACCTCTTTCTCCCTTCCTGAACTCCAGTCTGATCCCTCTTCCCGTGTCTCGTTTCAGCCACTTGCTGACCAACACCAAGTAGGTTCTCCTCCGTATTACTCGGTGGGTTTCTAAAAGCAAACAGGGGGACAACTTACAGGAGCCTTTGCGAATCTGACACCATCCAGATGTTCTGGATGTCGTCTCCCACAAGACTCGGCCTGGATAGCTGGGAGTTGCAATCCAAGATATCTGGAACACAGCAGGTTGTCTAAGATTGTTTGTGTGGTTCTCCTTGATTTTTGGGGTGTGTGTGTGAGGGGTTGCGGCATCAAGAGTGGAGGTCCTCAACTTCTGCAGGAAACAGACCAGAGCGATAGATTCCCCCCTCTCTTAAGAGGCCGCCAGCATTATTAATTCCTTATTCCGTTAGTTGGAAACCAGGATTATCCTCTCTGTGCGCAAATTCATTTTAACATCAGGGAGATTAGCAGCATGTAAATGCAGCCGATTTCAAGGGCTTTTCCTTTCTGCGGAAAAGACGCGTGTATTTTGGGGGGGCGAGGGAGCGTCGCAGGAAGCTTAAAGGCAGTGTTTTAAACTCTCTGCCATTTGCTGCGATTTGAAATCGGTAAAGCACTCTGCTTTCACAGAATCGTGGAGTCGGAAGGGCCCCAGGGTCATCTAGTCCAACCCCCTGCAGTGCAAGAATCTCAGCTAAAGCATCCAGGACAGATGGCCATCTGACCTCTGCTTAGAAACCTCCAAGGAAGGAAAATTCACAACCTCCCGAGGGAGACTGTTCCACTGTCGAACAGCTCTTGCTGTCAGAAAGAGAAAGCACTACATGCAGTGTGGAGCTGAACTATGGAACTCACCACCACAGGATTATAGAATTATAGAACGGCAGAGTTGGAAAATACCCTGAGGGTCATTTAGTCCAATCCCCTGCAAAGGGGGACTCTCGACCGAAAGGGGGGGAGGCGAGAGAAGAGCTATCGCTCAGTGGAAAGGCACCTCCTTTGCAGGTTCAAGCCCAACTGCATCCCCAGGGAGGTAGGACTCGGGGAGATGTTCTGCCTGAAGCCCTGTAGACTTGTTATCGGGTCGGTTTAGGCACCGCTGAACTAGATGAGCCAACAGCCACACTCTTGTCTCAAGGCAGCTTCCTACGACAGAGAGAACCCAGAGCCACACAAAAAACGAATTCAGACTAAAGCTGGCAGCCAAGGTTGAACATCTAGAAGCTTTATTTAAACCCTTTACAATAGGTAAGAATCACAACATCAAATCCGGAAACAGCTGCTTTTAAAAACGGAGACAGTCAGTAACTATTACAAGTCCGAGGACAGGAGAGGAAGGTAAACAGAAGCAAAGGGGTTTTAAGATCCTGCCGTCGTGACAGCAGGGCCCTCTGAGCTCCCACCCGGACAGGTTTGTCCAACCACCTCTCTCCTGCGTTCCAGGCGCCATCGCACCCATGCATTCTCTTAACACACCCCTTCCCTCCCTCCCTCCCTCGCCCCAGCACCACCCGGCTAGGCTATTGTGGGAACACCTGCGTAACTCTACCTCGCTGCACAGCCACGGCCAGGAGTGGCGCATCCTTCTGGTTGCACAGCCGCACCGAGCGAAGTCGTGCGAGATGGCTCTGGCCCTTCGCCAAGGAGGCGCCCCAGCAATAACTCCCAGCAGTCCACAAGCCAGCCGGGAGGGCACCAGCTTGGCGAAGGCTGTCCTACGGCTACAGCATTGATTTTTGCGCACACACACACACAAGGCAGGCATTTTCGCCAAGGCCGCCCCAATCTCTCTGCCTCCCTTTGCAAGGCCGGTGCTCGTTCCTGCTCATTCGAGATGGGCAAATCACCCGCTGTAGTGGCACAGATAACCTAACCGCTTCCATCTACCCTCTTGCCCTTTCTGTACTGCCGCCGACGTAGACCGAGACTCGCCAAAGCGAGGGGAGAGGAAGGGGTGTTTCTTAATCCGGATGGTGCTCGTAAGAGACTGCAGGGGATGGAAGCTCGATTGATCTCCCGATACTGTTCAGAGGCGGGAGAGCAATGGCACCTGCTCTCTTGAGTTCCCGCAAGCCCTCGTAGGAAACAGGCCAGCAGCCGCTCTGCCTTTTCCTGACGTCACCACCACCCCGAGAAGGGGCTTCAAGCAGCGCATCCTGGCCGTTACGAAGAGGACACCCCCTTTCGTTCTCCAGCTAACTGAGCGGCTGTTGCAGTTCTCCATTCTGCCATGGCTTCCCCAACCTGGGGCGCTCCAGCAGGTTTGAACTACAACTCCCAACAGGGCCTGTTGGGAGTTGTAGTTCAAACCTGCTGGTGCGCCCCAGGTTGGGGGCGGCTATGATAAAACTATAAGAATCTTTACAAGCAAAGCGGAGAGTTCACGGCGTTTTATTCGGTTTAACCACTCGGCGTTGAGCTGCAGCCCCACCCTGTCCAAGTACAGCCACAAGGGAATCGGTACTTTTTATTTCCCAGAGCCTCCTTGGCGAATGTAAACACCCCGGCATGCCAAAACTTCAGCCAGCATCCTTCGTCCCTCTGGCCAGCCCTGATACAGTTGGGTGTGTGCATGGCTTTCCTGAGCCTGTCCGCCCCACAATGGAAGGGAATCAGAAATGCCAGACAAATCAGAAATGCCACTTGCAAGGTACTCTGTCATACAGTAGCCCAAGTGGCGAAAAGTACATTCAGGGTAAAGACAGGTGTTCGTTTTAAGAGCGAGGGAGGCATATTGATGGTGTCCCCCGCTGCTCTGCAAATCAAAACAGTTTCTCTTTCCGGACCAAAACAGTCTGCAGGTTTTCCAAGTAACTCTGCGTGAAAAGAGCTGGTGGGGGGGAGAGGATAGACTTGTGCAGAGCACCTACTGGCTAGCTGCTGTGACATCAACAACCGCTTCCACCCCGTCATGTAGTTTTGCAACTGTTTTAAGAATGCTTGTAGATCATATTTTGGAGGAGGTAAGGCAAAGGATGGAAATTAACATGAGCGTGCTGCTTTTAATAATAATAATAATAATAATAATAATAATAATAATAATAATAATAGTGGTGATGAGGCTGGCTTGATGTGCAAGGCTAGAGCAAGACACAGATGGATGCCTAATGGGTTAAGGGCCCACTCTGACAGCTCTTAAAAGCCTACAGCTGTCTTTACCCTCAAGTCGTCTGCAAGGAAGGCGAAGAATTACCCTGGGCTGGCAGAGAGGCGTCCAGGTTGCCGCCAGAGCCCCATACAGCCTCTCACCCAGGCCTCTTGATCCAGACCCATCTCTGCTTGGCAGCAGATAACCCAATTCCTGCTGTTTTGTGCGTACCACTGATATGTGACACTACGGCGCTGAAACCCACGTCTGTGGCCACATTTCTGCCCAAGAGGATGCAGCCACAAGCGCATCACCCAAGACGGCAGGACCCCACACCCCATGCCAGCTGAAAGGCAGCAAGCCCCTCGCCTCCGAGCTTCTATGCCACACGCTTTCTTCACCAGCCTGTTCCACCCTGACCGTTCAAAACAAGGTGTTTCCTGGGCTAAGAGTGCCCCTGTGCCTCTTGCGAAGAGCAGAACCTCTCCTAATCCAATGGGGACCAGCTGATGGCTACCTGAACCACCTGCCTCCTAATCCACCACCCGACCAGCTGGCTAATCTCCTGGCTTCCTTGGGGGAGGGCCTGGCTCGCTGCCCAAGCAAAGGGGCTGTCTTGAGAAGCTTCTTGATTCCCTTCCCTGTTCATCAAGCAATTCCCTAAAAGCAAAGTGCATTTTCAAAACACCAGGAACTGCGCTTCCCTTCCCCTCGGTCCAACCAGGGCACCCTCACACCGAATACGTGTCGCTGCAGATTAGGCATGAGGGATCTCTTCGGTTGTTTCTGGGCTGCATTTGTAATCCTCAAGCTCAGGCTGAGGGGAGCTGGGAGCCAAACAAAACCTAGAGCGCCACGGGCTCCCCATCCCCAGTGGAGATGAGGCTGGGGTTGCCGTTTAGTGTGCAACTGGCCAGGCCTGTGGGCCTCACCATTGAATGGAATGATCAATAACACACTCAATATTCTATCTTAACAGCATAGTGCAAGGGAAGAGGGAAAGTCATGGAGAAGCTATCCCGCGAAGCCTCATCTTCTTTCTGAGGAACTCCAAGGAAAGCAAGAGGGAAAACCACCCCCTAAAAGGACGCCGCAAAACTACAATTCACCTCCAGGTTAAAAAAACTGCACACCCAAGTTGCATTCTTATATCTAACCAGTGCCATTGTTCGTTCCACCATCCAAGCTCAAGCCTCATTTTCCGGGAATGATGCCCAACACGGACGACCTTGCCCAACAACACAAAACTTCCAAGGTTCTGTGGAACTCTGATCCCCGATGGAAAGAACACAGACCTACGGTTTCTGTAAACCACAGGTGGAAAAGAGGTGTCCTCCAACTGCAGATGGACTCCAACTCCCATTGACCCCGCCCAGGCTGCATGGCCAATGGGAAAGGACGATGGGAGTTGGAGTCAAAGATCTGGAGCACCTTGGGATTCTCGGCCTGGTTGTTAACTGCCCAAAGCTCAAATAGGGAGCGAGTCACACAGCTACATGTGCACGGGTGTGTCTTCTGCCTCCTCCTTCCTCAAGCCTGTTTACGCCTCGCCTCTGCCAAAATGGATCGCCTGGATCGTCCACCCTAAGCCAAACACTGTCCTGCAAATTGGCCAACTCACGAGGGAGGCTGGTTGTGACGTGCAGAGCTGCAGTTTCCACTTGCTGCCCTGGGAAGGAAAACCTAAACATGACCTCCAAGGGTTGTGCCTCTTAGGTGGAAAAACTGGATGGCAGCTCCCTCTACACTAGCTAGCATGAGGCCACGATCCACGAGGGCGTTCTCCCAATGGGGATTCCGCAGGAGAACGTCCCACCCCAATGGATTGGGGCCTCATGGTTCTGGTGCATCTTACCAAATAAATACCGCCCTTACCAAATAAATATCTATGGCCACATTTCTCAGCTGCACTGAAATCTGACGGTCAAACAGAGACAAGATCTAAGCCAAGTTCTCAAACACAGCTCTGGGAGCAAGGGAGGCTCATTTATTGCTTTCGCTTCTTAGCCTAACAGCCACCGCCTCTAATACTTCTCATGATCCGTTTTGTAAAAAATACCTACGTAACCCCCCCCCAATTGAAATCTGCTCCTGCCCCTCCAAAACAAGAGGAGGGAGGAAAAGGAGACCAGCGCTGGGCTACGAAAGCCCTTTCTCCCCAACCCACCCTGCCCCGCCCCAGAATTGCAGTATTTACAAGCTACTTTCAAATCTAAAATTGCATTGTTGTAAAAATCCTTATTAGAAACCAAAGCTGGGGACTAAGAAAAACCCCCGTAGCAATCGTCTTTAAGCGTCTCTCCGGGTCTAAGGCTAAAAACACAGGCACGACACGTGTTAAGTGAGCGTGTTGTGCGGGAACGAGTGCGCGCACACCGCAGAACTGGGCGCAACCGGAACCTGCACATGTTCTCAAGACAGGCGGGTGCTAATATCGACCACCTCAAAGTGATTCGGGTCGGGAACAAAGAAGGAATCGACAACCCTTTACAAGACACTTTTTTTTTTTTTTGCGCTATCACGGAAGATAAAGTGCAATGTTATTTGACTTCCCAAGTGAGAGTCCTCAAGCGACGGATCGTAGGAGAAAGACATCTGGGCATCGTTGCAAACAGGAGAAGGACCCTCCGGCAAACAAAAGTCAACTGCTCCTCAACTTGGGGGTCAGAGGAAAGGGAAGCCAAGACAACGGGGCTTCCTGCTGAAGTATCTCAGCCCCCAAACACTTTTCTGCGAAAGAAGCTGCGAGTCTCAGCTTCTTTTCGTTCGTTTTTAAAGCATGCGCCCCACAAGCTTCGTAGGGAAGGAGGTGGATGAGGCAACTGCTTCCCTTTCTACGGTAGCCCAGGAAGCTCTCATTTTCGAGCACACAGGCTGTCCTTATTGCTTCAAGGGACAAGTTTCCCTGTCGGACGAGGGGGTCGCCTAAGCAAGCACTCCCCTTCTGCCATCACCACCCCCTTGGCCTGGCAGCGGGGAGGTCAGCGGAGTGGAAAACCCAAGTTGGTGTTTAGAGGTTGGGCGAGAGACCGGGAGACGTCATCAGCCGCAGGGCAGGGATGTAGACTGGAGGGGAAGGGAGCCATGCATGGCAGGTGGAAGTGGAGATCTCAAAGGGCTGGAACACAAAAACGCGCGCACACACAAGTGGACCTGCTCCGCTAGGAAGACGCTGCCGCCCAGGGATGCTGCTAAAGCGGCGCAAGGCAGCGTCTTGCTCCTGGGGCGAGCAGTTCCACTGTTTATAGGCCTCTCCGACTCAGGAAAAAACCTTCCCGGAGGAGCCAGGAATCCAAAATCTAAGCAGGGGAACCAGTTCGATGAGACGTTCACCTACGCAAACCTCGCCGGGGCAAGTGGGGAGGTACCACTGGGCTTTTGCTACCCCACCCATTTGAAGGAGGCTTTCCACAGGGCCTGGCCCTCAAAGCGGAGGAGATTTGGGGGTGTCTCCTATTACACCCCCGTCTTCAGCTTCCACCACTTGCATTGCCTGTTTGAAAGAAAAGGTTGGAGTTGGCACGACAAGGTCTCTCAGGGAAATGTCAGGACAGGGACGAGGAGGTGGTGGTACCGGGGTGGCGGATGGGAACGTGCGGGGAAGCTGCACAGCAACGTGTAACAACGTGGGTGGGGGGCTTCCTGAGATCTGGAGGGCGGGAGAGCCGGTGGGCAGGTGCAGCAAGCTTTGCAACAGACTCGGAAGCAGACTTGGAATCGGCGTGGCCGAGATGGAAGGTGGGCAAGATGGATCACAAGCACACATACATATATTTCTGAACACAGACAGGCCCCTTTCTAGGTGCAAAACCTGCAACTTCCTCCTCAAAAGGTTTCTATAGTATTCCAAGGAGGGGAAGGGAGATGCGATTCATGAGATTTCAGCATACCGTTTTGATGCCAAAAAGGGGGAAGAAAAAAAAACCCCGCTAAGGTTTTAAAAAGCCATTTTATTAGAAACCATGCAACCTTTAATAGTTATATATATATATATATTTATATATATATAAAAACAACAACCACAAGTGCAATATGTCTTTTGTGTGTGAATGCAGACACTGGGTTTGCTGTGTTGCTGAAAAGCACACTGTGACCAAGAGATTAAAGGGGGGGGGAGAGCTGTGCTATCATCGCTCCTCCTTCCCACAGCCATCATCTCCTGCCTGCCTCCCAGCAGAAGTCTGCCTACAAAACAACCCCCCCCCCACCGCCCAAATATTTGTTCCCTGCGGTTTGGGTTTCCCCCTCTTCCTTTCAGAATTCCCCCACGACTCTCACAACACACCATTTTCAAAGTTTTATTTACATTTCGTTTTAGTGTCATTTGCAATGCAAAAAAAAAAAAATTAATAAAATTGCCGAAGGTGCTCAAACTCTTGTTGCCAACACTCCCCACCCCCCACAAGCCCCATCCAACCCATACCCACCCCTAGAAGAAAAAACGGGTCTTTTCTTCCAAAGGAGAGCAATCTCTGCCTCTTTCTCTCCTTGGCACCTTCAGATCACCTAGCCAGCCCCATGCAGACGCTGCCTTTCGTCAGACCCTCAACACTTTCCCATGACCCTCTTGGTATTTTGGGGGGTGGTGGGGCAGCGGTCAAGCAGTCTCCCCACACCACTCCCTCCCCAACTCTGCCAGGACGCCCCACTCCCAGGGGCGAGCTTCCTTATAGATGCCAGACTCCACCCCAGCTCCAAGGTGCACAGACCCCGGAGCCAAACCCATCGTGCCTTTTTTTTTTTGGGAGGGGATCAGTGAACGCCATTCCTCTACCACCCACAACCTCCTCTCAATGCATCCTCAAGAACTTTTAACCAATGTGGCTCAATGCCTTTTTTTGCTCCATCATTTCAAAGTTTTTTTCCTTTTCCTTTTTAAGCACACACAAAAAATAAACACCACACACAAATGAAGAAAAAAAAAACGAAAGAAAAAGAACACAGTTAAAATGGCTGGATATGTCGATAAGAAGCCAGCAGCACTGCAGCAGCGGTTAACGTTTTTTTTAATTCTCCTATGGCAAAGGGCAAGGGGGGAAGGGAAGGGAGCGCGGTGCGCCTGCGGTAACAAGCGACAGAAATCGGCAAACACTTTATTGTACTTTTTTAAATCACAATGAGGAGGAGGAGGAGGGTTGGGGGACTGGGGGAGAGAAGGAGGTTAAGGAGTTAAAAGAGTTCCAAAAGAGAGTGAAATTATCATGTGTGAGAATAATAATAATATATAGACCAGCATTAAATAGTAGGCAGCGCGAAATGACGCAGGGCGAGGGGGCAAGGAGGTGGAAATGGGTTGCTGGAGGGGGAAAGAGGGCAGCAAAGCTGAGTCCCGCTAACTCCCGCCTGGGTCTCGGGCTCCGCCACGAGTGGGGCAGACCAGCGTTCCCTCCCTAGTCCCCACACAGCAAGCCAAGGAGGACGGGACGAAATCAAAACAACTCCAACGCACACTCGGACACCCCCGGGGAGCCCATTTCTGCACCCAGAGACACCAACCAACCACCAGACGCCACGGAGGCTCTCTGGGGCAGCCTGGCACGCTCCAGAGAGGTCCCCTGCCGTGGGGCAGGGAGGCCAGCCCATCTTTCCAGGGCCAAACAAAGCCAGGCTCCGGGTCAAAGGAGACGAGCTTCTCGCGAGCGGGAGGAGGGCAGGAGGAATGCGGGAAGGGGCAGAGTCACAAGCCTTGCTGAGGAAGAGCGGCCGCCGTCTCTTCCGCGAGGGGAGCCTGCCGTGGCAGCGGCGGTGGCGGCGGCTGCAGAGAGGTGGAGGCGGCCGAGGCCAGGCTTTCGCTGACCGAGGTGCTGCGCCGTGGGGAGGTGCCGCCGGAGAAGACAGGGGGGTGGTTGGAGGCTGTGGGGTCCGCCCCGTGGTCCGTGCGGGCCTTGGCCTTCTCACGGAACATCAGCTTGTGGGACTCAATCTGCAGCGACACAAGGGGGAGCGGGGGGAAGACGGCAATGGGGGGGAGGGAGGAAAAGGGGGGGGGCGGAAGGAAGGCGACACCAGAATGTCATCGTTAGATGCCTGGAAAATAAAAGGGCAGGTGGCTTCATTAACAAGGCGGCGCGCCGGGACGTTTCCTCTCCCCTTCCCTCCCGCTTCAGAAGTCGGTAACAGGGACGGTGGGGGGCGGGTTAAGCCACCCGGCCCCTCCGCACTCTGCCTCTCCTCCTAGGGAGGAGGGCATGGATTTTTCCTGCCTCCGAGAACGTTCCTTAGGAAAAGCTGCCTGGTGTCCCACCCCCAATTTCCGCCCCCCTCTCTCATCACCCCTCACCTCCCGCCCGCCCCCATCATCGCAAAGCACCTCTGGGGAGGCACAGAGGAAGGCCTGGCACTTACTTGTTTCTTGTATGTGAGTGTCGAAGCACTGAATTTCCCTTTGGTCGCCGCCGCCGCCACCCTGGGCGGGCGTGGGCAGCCCTACGCCATTCTCCTGCGTGGGGGGGCTGCCACCTGGCGGGGGGGCGGTCACAGCTCCGTTCTGCGGGGCTGCCTCCTCGCCCCCCTCGGTCTACAATGAAACAATGGGGTGGGGGAGGACAATGAGGCGTCAATACAAGGATGGGAATGGGATGCGGCGAGATGAAGGTGGTGGAGGCACGCGCAGCAGAGAGACGGACAGGTGTGTGGCGTTCCCAAAGCAAAGGAAGGGTTGGACTCTGATTAATAGAATACACACAGAGGCTTGGCCAGCAAGACTCTGGGAGGAGTGCGTATAATAATCTGTCTCTCCGCCCCTTGGCCCAGGTCGTTTTATTCACAAAAGAACTTTTTACAGAGTGTTTGTAAGAACCAATCAGATTTCCTCTGAGCATTTCAAAAAACCCCACGTGGGGACAAAGTTAGATCAGAAGAAATTCTTTTAACTACAAAGAAACTAATTCCTACTTGAGCATGCATAGTAGTCCAGAGTAAATAAAATAGGAAGCAATACTTTTAGGAAACCTGGAGGTCATAAACAGCAGTAAACGGTATTTACCATCTCCTTGTGAACTCTCTTCCTGGCCCCAAAATTAACAAAACTAACAGCTACATCGAAGAAACTGCCTACTATCTTAATGTACTGAGGATGCCTGATGAAGCAACTGGCCTGTGTTTCAGAATGCTTATACGTGCCTGTCAGGCGTAGAAAATGAACAGTAGAAAAAATGGCCAGAAATGCAGAGGCTTATGGGATTTGATCAGAAATTATTGTCAATGAATCGAACCCAGTCAACGCAATGCTTTCATCGCGGACACAATGGCTTTTATAATTCCTCATAGCAATCCCATCTGATCACTACACAGGTGGGAGGGGCTCCTCTTAGGAGGTGGCCCGCATCGCCTACACAGGTAAACCTGTATGAGCCTCACAAGGGAGGGAACAAAGGAAACCTAGCCTCACCAGCCCTGAATCACGGCACCCTCCTTCCCTTGCTGGCCTCCTTCCTATTGCCACCACCACCTCCTCCTTTCTTCGATCAACACACAAGACGCTCACTGAAATCTGTACATGATTTCAGGATCCTAATGTTGGGATACTGCCAGAGAGACGGGGGCATCAGGCAGGCCCCCAGCTGGCTCCAGTCACCGGCCAGCAGCCGGGCGATCACCGGTCTCTCTTGGAACAGCATCCATCAGCGACATGAGCCTCTGAAACCTTCAGAGGACTGTGCACGCTCTATCAGCAGAGTGAATAAATCTTCTCACAACGGAAGAGGCGGACAGAGCCATGTGTAAGCATTATCTACAGCATAGTTCAGGAACAAAGGAAAACATGTCTGCTTCCCTTCGTCTCCAGCAAAACAGCAGTTCGAAAGCAATGTACAAAACGGAAGTTCCCAGCAAGTGCTGGAAGTAAACAGGCATGTGACACACAACAGTCACGCCTGTTCCCTTTTAAGGTGGAACGGAACTATATCCTAACATCTAATCCTTACTTTTTTCCACTGCCCCTGCATGCGAAGGTAGGCTCCGGCGGACTGATTGGATAGTCAACGGTCAAGAAGGCAGTTTCTGCACGTGCAGCAGGGGGAAGTGAGGGGCAGATGAGGCTAATCCACTAGGGAAGGGAGCCCATCTAGGAGAAGGAAAACTCTGATCCTAAACTTCCACTGCCTTATGGGATATCTTCAGGAGAAGAAAAGGCGAAGGAGTAAACCCTACATTGATCTGGAGTCCCCATGATGGCTGGATGGCTCCGTGTACTACTACTACTACTACTAAAAAGGTAAAGGTAAAGGTACCCCTGCCCGTACGGGCCAGTCTTGACAGACTCTAGGGTTGTGCGCTCATCTCACTCAAGAGGCCGGGGGCCAGCGCTGTCCGGAGACACTTCCGGGTCACATGGCCAGCGTGACATCGCTGCTCTGGCGAGCCAGAGCCGCACACGGAACGCCGTTTACCTTCCCGCTAGTAAGTGGTCCCTATTTATCTACTTGCACCCGGCGGTGCTTTCGAACTGCTAGGTTGGCAGGCGCTGGGACCGAACGACGGGCGCGCACCCCGACACGGGGATTCGAACCGCCGACCTTTCGATTGGCAAGCCCTAGGCGCTGAGGCTTTTACCCACAGCGCCACCCCGTCCCATACTACTACTACTACTAATTTATTATTTATACCCCGCCCATCTGGCTGGGTTTCCCCAGTCACTCTGGGGAACTATCACCCCTAGCCAAGCTGGCTTCAGGTAATGGAACCAATGTAGTTCATCATCTGGGGGCCCAAGGCTGAAGGACTCTCCCCTGATGGGAGGGAGCTGGGCGGGGCTTCACAAGGTATAATTCTGGGCCCTGTTTTCAAATTCTCATATTTATGCACACATGTGCAAGCCGAAGGAGAAGGCAGAGGAGCTTTGCTTCTGTTGATGCAAACAATGTACACACATGCTCCAGGGAAGAAGAGAGTGGGTTCCCTCTCCACGCCCAGGTGCCATGTAAATACCCATAATGCATTTCTAAGAAATTAATTGTTCAGTGTGGCAGCACCTATACTCCGGAACTCCCCGCCTCTTGACCCCAGGCAGCTGCTTTCACTGAATGCTTTTCAGCGCCTGATAAAAACTCTTTCTCTAAAGGCAAGCCTGTCCCGAAGCTTAGAAAGTTGATGCGAGTTTTAATACGTTGTTAGTTACTGTAAACCAGCCTTTCTCAACCTGTGGGTCCCCAGGTGTTGTTGAACTACAACTCCCATCACCCCTGGCTAGCAAGGCCAGAGCTCAGGGATGATGGGAGTTGTAGTCCAACAACATCTGGGGACCCACAGGATGAGAACCGCTGCTAAACGTTTCAAAAGACCTAAAATGATTGCCGTGTGAATTTTTGAGAGGTTGTTGTTGTTGTTTTTAACAAGCGAATTTTAAGAAACAAACGAATAGCCTCCGATACTTATGAAGCCCTAAAAGGGGTAAGGAGGGTATGTGGAATGTCCTGGGGGGTCCGTTCAGCACCCTCCATCGGGTGGCACCGTGAAAATGAATGTGAGGTTGGCAATGTGAGGATGGCAGGACGGACGGGTGGCCGCACACAGGAGGGGGGGACCACGGGGGGGGGGCAAGGAGGGACCCATGCCTGGGTGCCTCCTGAAGCATACCTTCACGGTGCCTCCAGCCGGCACGTGCCCCACGTTGTCCAGAGAGCCCACTTTGGCCTGGGCTTTCTCCTTGAAGTTCAGCTTCTGGTTTTCAATCTTGACGTCTCCGCCGCCTGGAGCAAGGAAGGGAGAGTGTTACCCGAGGGAAGTGGCGCTGCTGCCAGGAGGCTGGCAGTTAAAAACACCTCACAGCTTGCTTCCTCTTGATGTGGGTTGAAGAATGTACGAGGGCTGTAATGTTTAACCAATTAAAGGGGGAAAACCTCAAATCCATCAAGAACACACACACACTTCTGCACGTCTGAAAAGGTGTCTCGTTTTCAGCAGTCAGAAGCATAAACTACCGTATTTTTTGCTCTATAAGACGCACTTTCCCCCTCCTAAATGTAAGGGGAAATGTGTGTGCGTCTTATGGAGCGAATGCTCAGCGCTCCCTTTAAAGAGCCGCGTGTGTGTGGCTCTTGGGGGCTTTTCCCCGAGGAGGGAGAAGGGCAGCCCTTATCTCCTCGGGGAAAAGCCCCCAAGAGCCGCACACACGCTCCGTGCACTCTTTAAAGGGAGTGTGGCCCTGGGGGAGCCTTCATCCTGCTGCCCTGAAGAGGCTTCGCATGGCTATCCCAGAAGCCAGGTCCCTCTTGCTCTTCTGGCTTCTTGGGTTCAGAATATTTTTTTTCTTGTTTTCCTCCTCCAAAAACTAGGTGTGTCTTATGGTCTGGTGCGTCTTATAGAGCGTAAAATACGGTACATCAACTCCTGCCAGCAGAGTTCTATTCTTTCTGATTTACAAAAAATATTTGCATACTACAGTGTCATTATCCATCTTAAAAAAACACAATGTACCACAGTTATTCATGCTGGCCACATGACCCGGAAGCTGTACGCCGGCTCCCTCGGCCAATAAAGCGAGATGAGCACTGCAACCCCAGAGTCGGCCACAACTGGACCTAATGGTCAGGGGTCCCTTTACCTTTAATGTCACATATTTTGAATGAGGGAATGGTTGGCAACCAGGAAAAAACCTCTGGGTCTCCACAGCCCCTTTAAAACCGCAGGAGGAAGGTGCTTCCAGAAAGAGAAAAGAGGAAGGATGAGGTGCTCACCTGAGCCCAGGGCAACTGCCTCCCCCCCATCCTCCCGCAGCCATTCCCCCTCTAACCTGGCTTATGCTTGATGTTTGCCTTTGAGCCGCACTTTGAGGACACTTTAGACAGGTCGATCTTCTTGTTCAGGATCTGCACCTGCAGGGCACGAGGGGAGGAAAGAAGAAGGAAGTTTCTCAGGAACGAGGAACGCCAGGCCTGCTCTGGTCAGCTCAGCAGAAGAGATCTCCAGGGCTCCGCTGTTCCAGCACCCTCTCCACCCTCCGCCCAGACTGGCCCGTTGGTTATGGGTGCAAGGCATGAGCCGCCGCCGCTGCCGCTGTTCCGGGGACTTGCGAGGGGCGGGGCAGAAGGTGATCATGCAGGAAAGGGCGGGGTGTGTGTGTTCTCAAAGCCCCATCCCAAAAGAAGGTGTTTTTTAAAAAAGTTAGCATACTGTGCCAAACCAGAGGCCGGAGAGCGGGCAGAGAAAACAGCGTCAGGCGTTACACATTGCACCGGTCAGAGCTG